CTTGAGTCCTGACTGTAGCTGTACCATCTCAAAGTCATATTACCAGATGCTAACGTGACCTGCATCATCCACGATGACTGCATCCTGCCCTGCAGCTTCAGACCCACCAGTACTGTGGTGATCCACTGGTACAAGCAGCAAATCCCCGTTCACAGCTTCTACTACAACAAGGATCAGTATGGACTCCAGAATAAGCATTTTAGTGGACGGACCAGCTTGTTCAATGTCTACATCCCTCATGGAAATGCTTCCCTGCTCCTCAGGAGGGTCAAAGTTCAAGACAGGGGCAGGTACAAATGTTACACGAGCACACGAAAGGGCAACCAGGAAATGTTTGTCAATCTGGAGTTGAAAGGTCAGTACAGCGTAACAGCATTACATTCAATAATATTTGGCCATATCGCTACTTTTCTATGTTGTCTTTAGGATACAATAAACCCTCTGTACAACTTCCTGCTCTATCTGATTATTTGTGCCACCCTGTTCACTTCAAAACAAAGCGAATATATAAGCCTATGCCGAAAAGCCACTGACTTCTTATTGTTTGTGTCACAAATGTAATCATACTGTATCCCCATTAAATGCTCGCACTACTGTCTTATGTGTTTTCCTTCCAGCTCTCATCCAGTCAGTGATCATGGAGATGACTGATGAGACGGTCACCTGCTCCTCTTACAACATCTACCCCATCCCTCAGATAACATGGGCCACAGACCCCCCCTCTGACATTGGAGCTCTGGAAAATTCAACCATTAAAACCACAGACCACAAAGGTTTATTTACAGTGGAAAGTACACTGAGAATTGTGGGTAATCTGTCTCACTACACTTACTTCTGCTCTGTCATATCGGCAGATGAGACCCAGGAGTGGACCGCCTCTCGGAAAAACCAAGGTGCATTTTGGTGACATAATAACGGAAGTTTTACACGAGGTGATTTCTGACTTACAAAAGACTCACATGTATGTAAACTCTTTTTCAGAGGACATAACACAGGAAGAGGGCCACGCACTGTTCATCCCATGCATCAGTCCACACAGTCTACAGAATTTCTCTCTCACCTGGATCTTCACCTCACCCAATGAGCCCACAGTTATCTTGAGATATGTTAGCAGAACCAGACACATTTTTAACCTCTGGGAGAGCAAAGCTGAACTGGACCAGGACCTGCTTCTGCAGGGAGACGGCTCTCTTCTGCTTCACAAGCCAGACAGAGACGAACACTCTGGGACGTATACCTGCACCTTCTCAGGCCTGCAGAGCAGACACATCATTCAAACTAAAGTAAACCTAACCGTTGTATCAATAAGTGAGTATTAGATGGTTCTGGTTCTGTTTCTACAAATCAGTGCAGGGAGGAAAATATAAACACTTCACTAAAATAAATGTGGCTTCTTTGCCTTCCAGGTGAGGATGAGCAGGTTGTGCAGCGCTCATGGTGGAGCACTGCAGCTTCCGCAGCCTTTGTCTTGTTCACCATCACTGTAGCTCTCCCTCAGTGTGTAAGGCAAAGAGGTATGTGAGATTCTGAATCTGCAAGGCATGCAAACCTTTGTGAATGAGGATATAGCTTCATGTGGCAGCTGCAGTTCACTGGCAAAAATTGTAGAAATAACTGAAATTCACTTGCAAAGACTGTCTTTTAAATACATCAGTATGGTCTGATATCACGCATGTCAAAGTCATTCTTGGATTGAATAACTTTTCTTTTCTTACTGATACAGCAATGGAGACCAGGATTGATTCACATAGATGCAATGGAGCCAGACATGTTGAAGGTGGACTTCATAAAGATCTAAACACCACAGCTTCATACAAAGTTGGACAACGAGGAGCTGAATGCAGCAGACTGCAGCTACAATTTGAAGCACGGGATGACCTGGTGGGCAGTAGGCCAGAAACAGCTGCTTTACCACCAGATACTCAGACAGAACAAGAAGAACACGCAGTAGCATTACCTGTGGAAGGAAATGATGGGCTGCAGTCCAGCAGCCTGAACAGGGTCTGATTTGGAACCACTGAGCTCAGCCATCACATACTGTACCATGATCTTTAGCACAAAGCATGTAGCCATAAATGAGCAGCGACCTGTGGATGATAATGTATACAAATGTATAGGCTATCTCCCACAGAGACTCATCCAGATGTAATTATGTAAATCATCCCATCCCATCATCCTTCCCATCATCCCAACTTGGGGTGATGGCAGGGAGGACATGGTTCCGAGAGACTATGGGTGGGGGGATGGGGTGAGGTTTGAGATTGGAGGGTAAGGAGGTGAGGGGAGCACCCTCTTGCCTCTTTATCCCCTCCCCTCTCCCACCTCCTTACCCTCCACACTCAAACCTAATCCCATGTAGCTGCAGTGTGTTCAACATTTATGGGAGTTTATTGTAGATAAATCACAGCTACATGAACTCATAATCAAGTTTTAGTTTACAGAGCTTATAAAAAGGCTTTTCTTTTGATTTATAGATTGTTTTCATACTGACAAACCAGAAAATAATCTAAAGATGATCTCTGAGCACAGCCTAATCTATAAACTGTAATTATTGTAATTCTTGGCTCCTTGTATTATGTCATTTAAAACCCAAACAAAACCACACTGTGAATGACAAAAACACCACAGAAAGACTTCCACCTAATATCCAATGAGCTCACATGTATGGTTATCTGACCCCTGACCTTTGGCCCTTTGAAAATAGTTCAAACAAGTTTAAACAACCTGTGAAACCAAAGTGAGTTGAAGTTACCACCAGGGGGCACAAAGGAACAGAGTTGAATTTTTCTCTGAGCCTCAGTAAAGCAAAATCACAGCACCGTGACAGTGGACCACCTAAGGGGGCAGGGCTTAGGGTCACAAATCATTGGACAGGGGTGCCATAAATCAAGGGGCATTGCCTAGCAACTGTGTTTGATAGAAACAGTACTCTATGCCTCTCTTTTTACCTATACCGCTTATCCTGACAAGCATCATAGGTGGGCTGGAGCCAACCCCAGCTGACACTGAGCGAGAGGCAGGGTGCATCCTGGACAAGTCGGCAGTCTACACAGGGCTGACATGTAGACAAACAACCACAAACACCCACACTCACTCCTAGGGGCAATTTAGAGTAACCAGTCAGCCTAAGCTGTATGCTTTTGGACTGTGGGAGGAATCTGGAGTAGCGGGAGAGAACCCATGCAGGCACAGGGAGAACAGTTATTAAGGCATGCATCCTGCAAATGAAGTTTTCTCTATGATGATGAACTGTGGTGACTTCAAGATCAGCTCATTTTGCCATTAACTGCTCTGAGGAAATGCACATCTTTCAGTTTAAGCAGTTCAGGTGTGTGAACATTGGGACAGAGCTTGAACTTTGTGCCAGTACGTTAAAAGAGAGATCACGAGCATGTAAGTGTTGGCGTGGGTGAGAAACATTTGACAATAATATGATGAAGTATTTACAAGTCTTTTCCTGCTTTAAAGGAAAATTTTCTAAATGAGACAGAACAAGGTGAAAGTTGAGTTAATGAGGTCAAAGTCCAGTTTGAAGAAAACAATCAAAATTGATCCCCATCCAAAACTTTTGACTTTGGCCTCTAGTGACTGGGTGAGACACTTGAGATTTTCGGACTGTGACTCAGACTTCCCAACGATTAGTTGATTATACACCCATTCCCACAATCTGACACCAGTGTTTCTTCCATCGTTCTCCCCTCTTCGCTGTTTTTTTCCACAGTCTTCTCTCAGAATCACTCTGCACATGGTTATAGTCTATAGTTGCTTACACACACAACAATATGTAACAAATGTTGATGTGGTTACTTGAAATTCTGACCTTTTTTAAAGCCATGTTGGGATAAGAAGTAGAAAAACATTCCAGTGCTCCACATGACAATTACATTTTTATGTTGACAATAAAGTTAACATGTCCCAGCTTTCAAATGAGACACTTCTGAGATTTATATGCATGATACGTGTGTGTGTCTGCGTGTGGTTTTATGACAAAGACCCCGGCTCTGTGTCTGGAAGTAATCATCTCGTCCAGGCTGCGCTCCACAGCCCCCTCCCTATGATGTAAGTGGAGTTCGTTGTAAGAGGGTTTAAGATTTTCAGTGGAAAATCAATTAGTTTTTCCAAAGTAACTTTTCATTCATTCTGAATCTGCTAGTTCAGTTTTTACAAATTGTGTACCACAGCATTAAAGAGTGTGATCTGCTTTTAGAAAATAATATGTTAGATCAGACCATGAACAGAGCGGTGCTCCTTGTTGTCTCTGACTGCGAGGGGATTTTACTCTTGGCCTGCACAGTTACAAGGGGGAGTGAGGTTGGCTCTGTTTCAGACATGGCGATGGATGGGGCCTCCTCCTGTCTCCATATTGCTGAAACAACAATCCAAGAGTTCACAACTTTGAACACTAATGCCTACTTTGGCTTTTTCTTTTCTTCTACAGACATTGTTGGACACCTCCTTTGTGACCACTGGACAAAGTCTAGTGTTCTTCTGCCCAAAATGATCAGAAAGCCAGAAACCTGCTGGCACCAAGACAGTAGATCTAGTTCAACGAGAGGGTTAGTTACACAATGAAGATTAGACACTCATGTGATAAGCACTGATATCCGCTAACTTGGTGTCTCTATGCTGGACTATACTGATAACATGCTAGAGTAACTTATTGATCAGTGCTCCAGGGTCAGAGGTCAAAGTCATAGACTTAAAAAACTCTGGAGCTGGACAGGATTAAACACAATGATGCTTTTACAAACAGAGTTAAAAGCTTTATTTCTGTTCAGTCTTCCCTTTTTTGGTGCTTGGTTTTCTCCATAACAACAATTCTCCATCTAACCAGAGAGGGGCAGTCACCGGTTCTGATGCTGAAAAGTAAACACACTCTCTCCCCTCTCTCCCCCTCTCCCTCTCCTGGGGAGGAGAGTCTGAGCAGTCGGGGTGGGAGGGGGTCTCCCGTCCCATCTGGTCCATTGTCATGAGAAGACTTTACTCTCCTGTTTCATATAAGAGGAGTGGACTGCAGCTTCAGCAACAGACAGACCAAACAACTCAGGAGCTACTATGTGACTCGGACAGAAAATAAAGGTTAGTCGCTTTTCACCTGCCCTAAAAGTCGATTTCAGTCAGTACTCAAATTTCCTGGTCGATGCAACAGTGATGCTCAGATAAAAGAAAAATTTTTTTAAATCACTTGGCTGCGTTTTCCTTAACATGCACCTCAGTTTTTTTAAAGCAGCAGTTGAGTCGAATGCACTTAATAGGCTTAAAATTACCCCAAAAATGACTTGAAGTGAATTATATGACTTTGTGGTTCAAAAATGTGCAAAAAGTCAAGTGATTGTATTTTGGGCTGTCATATTAACTGTATCTGATTTTGTTAAGTTTAAAAGATGGAGATTTTTCCCATGTTTATTTCAGTTGATGACACAACCACTGAAGCATGTCTGTTTTTTGTGTGTACAGTACGTGTATGAATGCATGAGTTGTTAATATATGATGATGAATTAAAATATTGTAAAAGTAGTGCACTGATTTCAGAGCTGAAATAATAATCATCTAAAACAGGTCATTTCTGGAGCAAAAGCTGTAGTTATAAAACACCCTGTTGTCCTGGACAGTGAGTGAGACTTGTAAGATAGTTTGAGCCTTATGCAATGTTAAAGTATTTACAGTATCTCCACAGTGTTACCACACATTAGATTAAAGCCAGTTTATCAGTGCCCACTGTTTACATCTCCCTGTGTGTTTACGATGTACACCACTCTGCTGGCCTGGAGTCAGGGTGATTCATTCTGAACCCTTGCATCTGACATGCGGCTGCTTTCCCCCCCTTTTTTTCCAAAGGTCTGGAGAATGAACTCATGCTGATTGATTGTGTGACTGTGTAAAAGGATACCTTACTTCCTGTAGGCCCTCTCTCCAGACAGCAGGACCACAAAATCGTAGCTCAGCCGTCTCTGTCTTTCTCTGCAGTGTGTGTGTGTGGTGTCTGCAGATTCAGGAAATATTAATGGCTGACTTTTAAAATCCCTCTATTGCATCACTTGAACTATTAATATCCTCATTTACAATCAAAAGTGCGGAGAGGTGAAGATGCATTTCTTTTATTTGATAAATTTAGCCTTCTTTCCTTTTTTTGTTGTTGGCTGCTCAAAATCTCCACAAAAATACTGAGGGCTGCTACTTCTATGTTTATAATCAGTAATCGGTCATTTATTTATCTTTTTGACGAGTTGATTAGTGATTTACTTACTTAATTAAATGTCAAAAATATGTTCTGCTCAACTTAATTTGACAAAAAAGTCCGAACATATTTAATTTATTATTATATGTAATAGCAAACAGATTGGAACTGTTGTGCAGCTGTAACATAGACCTACTTAGTAGTTTACTCAGAAAATGTTGGTTACTGTTTAAATGTGTGCTCAGTCTTCAGTCAGCAGAATAATCATTTCAGCATGAACTGCAAGACACATCAGGTCCTCTAACAGCCCTAGTCTGGGTTTCCCCCGCCTTGGATCTCTAACTTGAGGCTGCTGCCTCAATGAGTCTGGGGCTCTAAGGGAATACTTTCAATGACAGGTCACGGGTTTGGGGCTAAAAAACATTGAGTGCTGCTTTTCAGACTGTGGTATAATTGGTAACACTGAGCCAGACATAAAAAATTTCCTCTGGATCTGTTTTCCTGCTTAGTCTTAGGGAGATTTTTTTTCTTTCTGTTGAAATATGCATATCTGAAATATCTGCTTGAATTGAGGCATTGTTGCACATAGTTTTGAAGAAGTTGAGGGGCCACAAGGCATGGATTAAGCTTCCTGAGATGGTCTTTTTATCTTTCATTCCTAGATGGAACGATGCTGCTGTATGACTTTACAGGAAGACTTGTGCAGGGTATAAGGAAGGAAGGTTGAACGGATTGTTATGTACAGTATTTACTAGTATTACATTAGATAAAATTAGGTTGAATTAAGTGTGGTATGAGGTATAACTGTTTGTGACAATATTATTCGATGTAATAAGTTTGGTATTTTTTCATAGTTTCGAGTTTCATACCTGTTCTCTCCCTTTTCCTCTTCTCAGGGATCAAATCACCCAGGGCCCAGCCACATCCTGCATCCTCGGTCCGAATCAGAGAGTGTGATGAACAGCATGCTTCCTCAGAGGAGTGCCGTCGCCACACTGGGCTACAGCTCAGGTAAGACAGCGTTCAAACATTTGTTTACACTCGGCTGTGAATCTGACAGTAATCTACAGATATGGATGATACATTTTACTCATATTTGATTTCATATCCCGCCTGTGCTAAATGAACAGAGTCAGTGGAATGACAGAAAACAAGATTGTTTAGCTGGCTAATGTCAGTATGGAAGTCAAAACATTTAATGCAGCAGGTTCATTGAGTTAAGGCAACAACTTTCCTCAGCTTGGAGCCTTGAACAGCTATTTTTCCAACTGTCTGTTTTCAAGATTTTTTAAAATGTATTTTTCCTTTCTCTCTCTCTCTATTTTATTTTATTTTTTCCATTTTTCTCCCCCCTCCTCTTTTTAATACATGCACTAGATTAGAACACACAGACGCTACACACAAACCAGAGAAATGAGAAAGTTTGATTTAGCCAAGCAAACTAAATGCTCAACGCCAGGAATTCATTTGTTTAATATTTGTGAAAACATTTTTAAGACAAAGGCGAACAGGAGGTGGGCACACGAACTCTGTACCTATATGTTCATTCACTGTCCAGCCGTCCAGGACTCAGGGCATCATCCTCACTCTGCTACTTGGCTACTTTTGCTGTCCTGAATCTTTCTTCTGCAGTTCAGACTATGATGCATCCTGACTTGTCTTGATTTGCCAGCATTCTTCCATTTTTAGAAGAAGCTCAACTGCTGATTGAGCCAATGTTTGTATTGGGCTCAGAACTGTATGAGCATACATTCTTGACTGGTTTCCCCCCTTACTCAGCACATGTGGTGAGTAAGGGGGTGTTGCTGCTTATTAAAGAAGTTGCATTAAACCTGACTGCATTACATAGGTCAAAAAGAGAGAAAGGATTTCATGGTCTGTCAACTTTCTCTTTCCTACAGATTGTGTGAAGCTTGAGCACAGCGGCCGAGGCTCAGTGGGCGGGACGTTGCTGAGAGGCACCCGCTCTAAGGCAGAGCTACAGGAACTGATGGAGACGCTGCAGCGCAGAAAGAGTGATCTAGAGGCCAGCCTGAGGGCAGCTGAGTGCAGCCGCAAGTATCTTAGCATGGCATCACCTGTTGGACCCCAGTCCACCAGGCCACTATCAGCTCTCAGCAACACTGAACGCCCTCTGTCTGCCTCTAGAAACCTTTCCTACATGTCCAGCAGCAGCGTGCCTCCATCACCTCGCCAGGGCGAACGCCAACTAGGCCCTAATAGCTTGTTCCGTCATTCCCACCCTCGCCACCAGTCCCAGGACAGTCTGCTCCTCTCGCACACAGCAGATGGAAGCTCTTTGTTCTCCTCCTATGGGGACCCCCCACCTCGTTCTCCCAGGATCAAAAGTGGAGCGGCCAGTGTGCCGTCCAGCCCTCGCATGGGCCGCAGGCTCTACTCTCAGGGCAGAGCTGGAGGAGACACCCGGCAGAGAAAATACTCCACTGGCTCCCTCAACAGCCTGGGGATGCACAGCCGTTCTCTGCCACGGCTTCACAATGCAGCAGAACCCCCTGCTCTGTCGCTACCGACACGCCACTCAGTGGGTTCACACCGAGGAGTGGGCTCATCAGGGCAGCGACGCAGTCTGTCCTCTCTGGAACAGCCACCAGATGTGACGGTACCAGCTAGCATGCCCAGCACTCCCAGGAGGGCCAGTCTGGCCTCTCTGAACTCTCTAGGTATAGAGATCGACGGGATGGGCTTAGATCTGGGCTTTGGAGAGAGGAGGCTGTCCTTTGGGAAGAGTGGGCTGGGTCCAGGACAGAGGGTGGGCAGCATCAGCTCTTTGAATGGAAAAGAGGAGCTGAGAGACTACCACCAGCACCAGAGAGACGAGCGACTCAGGGAGCAAAAAGTGCAGAGACTGGTGAGTTTCTTTTTGAGCTTTATTCTTGCCCTTTTATAGTAACTTCAGAAAGCATTCACAAAAGTTTTCAGATTCTTTGCTATGGCACTCCAGATTATAGAGTGTTTGTCAAAATTATCCTTGAAATGTGTCTACAACATTACTGAGTCTACCTCTGGCAAAATGAATTGACTGGACATAGTGTAGAAAGGCACATACCTGTGCATATAAGGTCCCACCAAAAACAAGCCATGAAGTCCAAGTCTCTGTAAACCTCTGTGATAAAACTGCAACCAGCAGTTCTTCCTAGAGTTGGTTGGGAAAGAAGTGCCAAGGACCCGGAAGCCATTCTATCAGAGCTTCAGAAGTCCTCCCAGAGATGGGAGACCCTTCTGGAAGGATGACCATCTCAGCAGCTCTCCATCAGTCATACCTGGTAGAGTGGCTCTGAGTAAAAGGCTTATGACAGCCTGGTTTGCCAAAAAGGAAGAATGAATGCAGGTAAATGCAGAGAGGTCCATAAGAAAATCAGCTCCAGAGTGTATGTGACCTGAGCCTGGGGTGATGGTTCACCTTTCAGCATAACAATGACCCAAAGCATACACCCAAAACAATACTAATTTATGGGTTATGGGTTCTTAAGTATAGATTGATGAGCAAAATAATTTGATCCATTTAAAATGAAATTTACAGGACGAAGTGAGCAAAACGTTAATGGGTCTGGACACTTTCTGAACCAACTGTATATGTTGTTTTTGTAGATTCTTAACATCTTGACTTCTTCCCCTGAGGAGAACATCAAAGTTTACAGTCTAATAACTCAAACATGATAACATGTGGTTCCTCTGTCTGCAGGAATGTCAGCGCCTAGAGACCATCTTGAACCTGTGCACTGAATTGGGCCATGTGGAGAGAGAGCCAGTGGGTTCAGCTGTTTCTGACCTGCAGAAGATCAATAAGGAGCTGGAGAAGCTGCAGGTGTCAGATGATGAGTCAGTGTTCTCTGACTCTCCCAGCAGCACCGTTCCAGAGAGCTGCTTTGGAGCCAAAGCCAGAGACTTCCAGCTCTCTGATGAGCAGCAGGTCAGCCAGTGTCAGCAGAGCAGCTACAGAGAGGCCAGGTCCCACTCGCCTATCATCAGCCTGAACAGCAGTGCCCCCTCACCTTCCACGCACCACAGAGCCAAAGTAAGTTTCATCAAATCTGATATATGCTCATAAACATTAGAACAGGAGGGTGAAACTGTAAAGGGAATGAAGTAAGATTAAATCGTGGTTGCCTCAACCGAGAAATGTACAAAGTTTAATCACCGGAAGAATTTCTTATAAATATGTCATTATTTAATTTGACAAACAAGTCATGTGCCTTTTATTTATTTAACCCAAAGTTATAAACCACAAATTTTCAGGTAAAAGCAGTTTTATCCTACATAGATGCCTTGACAGTTTCTGTGCCACATGTGAAATATATCTGCTATACACAGTAGTTCCCTCAAAATTATTCTCATGGTGGAACAGCAAAAGTAGTGATCATAGCAGGTACAGTGCTTTCTGTTAACAATCTCACAATGCAGAGTGCTATTGGACATTGTGCAGATATGGTGGTGGATGCAAATTGATGGTGATATGTCTCTGAAGCATCAATATACAGCTCACTACTGAGTAAAATACTCAGTGTCTGTTATAGTGTGAGCCAGTGTGCACAACACCAGGACCCTGGAACTGAAGCAATTAAATTAAATTTAGCCATAATTCATTTTATTAGTTATACCTGTTCTTCTCCTACTGTGACATGTGAAAAAGGTCTGTTGTTCGCAGGTTTGTCACTGCATGTGTCATATCATTCTCTAATTTGTTCTCCCCTCCTCCTTTCCTACATGTTAAAGTAAGCGAAGCTGTAGTGAAGACTAATGGGATACACCCCTCCTGTGGAATGCCGTTTATCAGGCTGCTGATAGCTTGTTTATTTTTGTTTGTTTACACATTTTAAGATCAGGGTAACATCTGTACATTTCCGGATTAATTAGCATTTCCCTTTCCATATTTCCAAAGATTTTAAAATCTAGCACAGATTGCAACATTTTCAGAGAAACCAAATATGTCAGTATGTGAACTATGTGAAAATAAGATAAATCAAATTATGTTCACAGGGTCTAGAATGTTTTGGGTACTGACATTTTCCTCCAAAACATTAAGGAACAACCAAGGTGGTTGCAGTGTGGTAGTTAATGTGCTGCAAAAAGCATTCACACTGATTCACAATTTTGCCTCATATTTGGTTCAGACTGGATGTGTGTAGATGAAAAGTGGAAACATATGTAGCGTGAAGCTCTGACAGTGATGGCTCCATGTTTGGTGTGTCTTCTACAGTATTATTCACCTCATAAACATTTGGCTGAGGGAGACTGCTCACGCATTTGTATACTTCCTGTTTATACAGGTTGTTTAGACACATAAACAGGGAAATGACTGTTCCTCACAGATTTCATTTTACTGTAATTTAACCTCATCTTTCCTCTCCTCAGCTTTTTGAATGTATTACAGTGTTGCAGCCTTTCCACACACACTGAGAAATGAATGAATGATGTTTAATTTACAAAGATAAATATACCAAATATGCATTAAATACTGTGATTCCAGCTTCTTGCCAGTACATCTCCTTCTGCTGCTGAGTTACTGCCTCTGTTTTTCCACCCTACAGCACTCACAAGCTAATGGTGTGTCTGGTTTTAATGAAGAAGTCCTATTTTTTTTCAGCACTCTGTTCGAACTCTTAAAGGAGGGGGGGGAGCAGGAAATGACTTTATTCCACAGAGAATTTGCATGTGCATGTGTGCGTGTGTATGCATGCACAACTGTGCGAGTGTGAGTGAAGAAAGCTTGTGTATTTGCATGGCAAACACATGCACCTTTCCAGATCTTTAACATAACAAAACAGTTATCCAAACAAACACACTACTTTTGATCCCATTATGGAAATTAAATTTCCACGCTGAGACTATTAAATGTGACAGAGGTTTACTGGCTCCAAATACCTCCTCTTCCATCTCGTGCATTCCTCCAAGCAGTGTGTGCAGGAAGAAAGGGCACTTTCGACCCATCTGTGAAACTATAAATCTAGCATAGCGTGTCCACATGAGCCTCTGACCATGAAAGAAAATCCTGTTGGTTCCATTAAAGAAAAATACTTGATAAAGCAGAATCTCTAAAAAAAAAAAAAAAGCGCCATGTATGAGTAGAGATAAATGTTTGTAGGATGCTGGTAGGCACTAAAATATGTGGAAGTGCTTTGGTATGACTGGCAGTGGAGTGCAATGATAGGAGTTTCCATTACACCAAGGACAGAAGAATCCCGCTGTCAGTGATCCAGACTCTGGATGAGTTAGAACAACAGCTGCTGTTGTCCAGTTAAATACAAAACAGATTCCAGTGGTTGGCAAATTATTTTCACACCTTTTTACAGTATAGGAAATAAGTAGTTTCTCATGTTTATTAGACTTTTTTAAATTCTTGATTGAACATACTATAACCAAAAGATGCTCCTACAAATAAACCTAATTATAGGGTAGTGCCAAGCATTTATGTTTGCTCCTGATGCCACTACAGGCCTTGGAGAGCATGCAGCTGAAACAGGAAGTGACGCATATAGAAGAAGAGAGGATCCAAGTCCTGAACAACATTGAGGAGCTGGAGCAGAAGATCAAAGACCTGGACAACCAGATGGAGGAGTCTGTCCGAGAGGTAGGCGGCACATGATATTAACACAACTGACACTTGAACTGTGACAGTAATATACTATCTCTGAATTTGGATAAAACTAAATTTATGGTATTTGGGAATTGTAGACTAGATAATGAACTTCAATTGAAAATTGGGGGAGCTAATATAGAACGAGTATATGAAATTAAATTTCTAGGTGTCATAGTTGATGACAAATTCTCCTGGAAATCTCATATCAGATATGTTCAGCACAAAATAGCAAAAAATATAT